ATAAATTTTAATTATTTTTTTGGCGGGAAATGTCATTTAATTTGTTTGAAAACTACGACGGTGTCAAATAAGCTGCGATTGGCCAGCCCGAATTCGAAACAGTTGACGGATGTCATCAATTGTTTAACTTCAAAACGACCAGTTTAAGTTGAGCTTTGCTTTAATGGACGAAAATTGAAAAGTTACGTATTTAATAACCGACGAAATGTGATTCAGTTTGTTTTGTAATTAGATGTTTTGCTGTTTTTTCGCAGCACCGAATGGAACGGCCCCACGTAGTTATGAGATATTATCTTTGTTACAATAAATGCAGAATATTTTTAGAATAGACGTACACAGAGGTCAGTTAATATAAGGCCCATTTGCCTGATGAGTTGCCAGGGTTGGATGACCCTTATTTCGTCTCTATTTCTGGTTATATACTCGATGATTGGAACCAAGCACCCATTACACTTTTGGGAACATTAATTTTTGTTTGTTTCAGGTAATAATCGAATCTGAGTCGTGTCGCGAGCGCTGTTGCGTGCGCGCGCGTGTGAGGGCCACCTTACGCTGAGAATATGACGTCAAATGTAGTGAAATGTGTATCGTGCAATATTGTAATCAACGAGGTGCTAGCGTTTATACAGAACAAGCACAATGTTATGGATGATGTCAGTTTGGTGCGAATATGCTTGACGGGCTTTTCTGTTGAAGCAGTGGAGCAGACGAGAAATTGCTATATGAATCCGTGGATGGTGGTGAAAAATATATTTCAAGAAGAAAAGACAAGGCTGAGCGTGATATTGAGGATATAATTAGGCTTATTAAGAACACCAGCACTGCTAAATTACCGATATTTGTTGCAAAAGATTTGCACAAATTACCCCCGGTAAATTTTGAAAAAATATTGAATAATAATAATTTCCATAATAATTTTCGACTCAGCTTGGAAACGCAAACCTATATCCATACCATGCCTAGGAAATGTGTATAATAGTTACAAAAATAATAACTACTTATTATATTCATTGCTTAAAGAAGCTTTTTAAGAAGATTACTTGGTATTGTATAGAATGACTAGGAATTTTATAGAATCTCGGAATTATTCACATTGCCGTTAACATAAATATGTATGTGTAATTGGCTCGGTCGTGTTAATGGTGTGTAGCAAATAATCGGTTCTTTCTAATAACTTAAACAAGTTAGTATAGACTAAGTTAAAGTACTTAAAATAGATATAAAATTAGCACGAAAGTGTACTGTTACTTTATGAAAGAGTTGAGTACATGGAGTGTAAGTAGCACACTGTAATAGCACCGATTTAGCAAGATAGACTTCAATTTGGTTTCGAATATGTTGTCAGTTTAGAATTCTGCAATATTTGCAAGCTTCGCTATGGTGCTGTGCTCATAATTTCGAAGATTTTGTACCGTCAAGAGAATCAATCGGTTGAAAGTTGTTCTCGATTCACTGACAGTGTCCCATCACTGATTCATGAACTTCATGTCATTTAAATATTTTTTTATTAACAGAGAAAAGTACGCATTTCACCTCCATCTTGCGTGATTGAAAATGACGGTAAGGTCAACGATGGAATAGGCTTTATTTAGATGGCATACACACCTAAATAAAGCCTATTCACTCTCACCTTGAGAGCGAATAGGCGCGAGTTAAATTTTCATGAAGGTAAAGGAGCAGGGGAAAAACAAACCCAAAGTTTATTTGAAAATGCACTATATTTTTATCATTTTAGTTGCACTGAAGAATATTATAATATGTATTACAAAACTTTCAAACAGTTTGCAACTTAAGCTACAGCGAAGGTAAACTATGTGTTACATAAAAGTATATAAAATTTAACACATCTATATGTTTAATTGTGCTTAGAAAATAACTTACTATCCCATGTGACAATCAAAACCTGGTAATGGTAAGACCACATTTTTCTAAATTATAATATTTTGAAAAATATTCAACACAGCTTGATACAAAATTTCATTTTCCACTGTCTGTGTCAACATAAGTAACTTAACACGATAATTGATAATATAAGAGAGAAAACGGAGGCCGAAAGAAAAACTATACGACCAAATTAAATAACTGCGGGTTTTTAAAAATCCGTTAAAACATCAATTGTCGACGCTAAAGACGACCTTAATTTGCTGTTAATTTAAAAATGGTTACATTATGTTTAAAATAGGAATACTTCTAGAAAAGTGTGGTCGTTACGCCCTTTGACTAGACGAAAGAAAACCAGCAGCTTTCATCTTATATATAATGTTAAGAAAAATAAAGATTGTCCGTAAACATTTGGCAACGACACAAAAGGAATTCGCATTTGGAACATGTTTCTTATTGTATACCAACCAGGTCCTTTGCGATTAAATGAGACTAATAGCTCCATCAGGTCGAACCGGGTGCGGTCCCGAGTGAACCACCAAACCAAACATGGTACAACCAATCGAACCATGCAATACGGTGGAAACATCGAGAACAAAGTTTTTAGAACACCATTGTCATTTAAATACCAATTCAAAATTTGTATACATTAGCATGTAATCAGCTATAATATTTTCGTCATATAAGAAATTATAAGCATCTGTTAATAAACCTTTTTAAAGCAAATACAATTTTTAATGGACAATTAGAGATTTGGCAGGATACTTTTCAAAACTATAACAGTATAAAAACTTTAATATAATGTTATTATGTATTTATACATATTATTGTTACTTACTATGAAGTTACAGGTTATTGCTTATAATTTTCGGACAGGCGTTTGTTTTCAATAACGTTAACATGTTAAAAATTGGACGAAAATTCATATATTTTTTTAAAATCTAAATTTGTGTTGCGTTTAATATTGCAACAAATAGTATATTCAGCCTCACGCCAAGAACGTGGTTGTTGAGCCGAATATTCGTTCAAACTATTCGGATTGATTAACGCACTTATAATGATAACTAATAATAATCGCGCACTCGCTTTCTGATTGGCTCATTATTACTACGCTTCGCCAATCGCGTTGATTCTTTCTTAGAAAAATAACTTACAATGTATACTCAGTAATTAATAAAAGTACTTTATTAAAAAAATATATAACGAAGTACATGATAATTTATTGTTTTTTTTAATATTCTTCCTCCTGTTTCTAGGCATTTGATATTCGGTCGAATAGTGATGCAATATTCGGTATTCGACCGAATAGCAAAAAACGAGCCAAATAGCCGAATCATCATGATCATCCTATATGTATAAGGCTCTTGTCAGTGAACACTCCTCACGGTTCATAGCCAGCTCCTTGATCCCTTTAAAGCTGTTCTCTTCGATGTTCTTCTTTACTTGTTCACTGTACGAATACCGAATGCCGAATAGTTACCGAATATTTGTTGCAACTCTAGTTGTGACGTTCATATGGTGCGTTATAGGGCCAGGCCAATTCTTTTCGTGGGTGTCACTGATAACGACTAATTAACATTACATTTGGAAAAAATATGTTAAAATATCGTCCAATTTTAAAATTAATGCATTACAATAAGACAGTTATTGTTAACACGTAAGTACTTATATTAAAAATCTTTGTATATCTTACAGTTAAATTTCACACAATAAGGGTAACATACTCAAAATAAACTGCATAAGAATAAAACCATAAACAACAGTAAAGGCACAAATAATTTAAGTAAGAACCTTAAAGTAAGAAAACTGAATTTTTAAATCTAAAAATCTTAAATTTATTCAAGTTCGATAATAATGATGAAAAATTATAAACAGAGTAAGATTTTTAATGACGAGATAATAAACTGGCAGCCGCTAATGTGTTGTTGCCATATTTATTACAATAAAACTGTGTCAAGGTGAAATGTTCGGTTCTCAATTAACTCACTTTTGGCAATTGATTTGGTAAACAATATATCATTTATATTTGTCATTATCAAATTCTTGACTTTTCAAAGTTAATACCATTCGACCACCGAGTCGTCAATTTATTAAAAAGATAATGGTTTATCTTTTAGGGTGAGTCCAGACAAGCGCAACATTGTGAGTTGTGAGTCGCGTTTTTGAGTTGCGTATTTTACGCTGCATTCGGTTTCATATAAAAATACTGTTTGTAAAATGAGTTGTCTGCCAACTCACGCGCGTAGTTACGACGAAACTTTGGTCGCACTGTGTGACGTGTTTGTGCGGGATTGATGAGGGAAGGAAAGTGAGGGACACATGTTGGCATGTTGGCATGTGGCTCCTTGTGAGAGTTCGTCCAGGGAAGTACTGCCACATTACCCATCTGCTGCCAAGCAGTAATGTGAGCATTACTGTTTCGGTTTTGAAGGGTAAGGACGCTGGTGATATTACAGGTACACAGGACTTGTCAATTTGTCCCACGGTGACAGGCGAAGAGGCAGTGTCCCTCAGATTTTTGCGATTTAAAGCTCTGAGTGACACTGCAACTACTATAGACAGGCGTGTCGATTAACATCGGGCGCACGACTTTTTTGTCCACAGTGGCGGATTTGCCTTAAGGCCACCCTAATCGTGACAAAAAATTCTCTGATGAGAACAAGAAATAACTCAAAGTATTTTAAAGGCTCACGCACATTATGGCGTGCCGCACTGCACCGCGTCGTGTAACAATAATCTTCCTAAATCACTTTCGTACACTTTATTTATAAAATATAGATGTCTACCAGTATGTATATGAGTGCTGAGAAAGGGGCGGCTGGTACTGACTACATGGCCTAGGGCCTAGAGCGGCCAGGACTGTAAATCCGCCACTGTTTGTCAAAAAAAACACACCGTACAAACGCTTAAAAGCAACTGAATAAAATACGTTCGCCTGATGCTCCACAGTTGGAATTCAGTAATTTCGGACACAAAAGAGCCAAAACACGCGACTCACAACTCACAAAATTACGCTCATGTAGCCTCACCCTTATGGCAACATTATTTTTATGTCATCAAAAGCTGGCAACACACGTTAGTTTATTATCTTAAATTAAAAAATCGATTATAGTTAAACTTGACTTTGTAATGTTAAAACGAATGTTGTTTACATTAACGTTATAATTCTAAAAAGCTTGTATAAGTAAACTTACTTATATTATACATGTTTACTATATCTACGTACCCAAAAACCACCTAAACAAAAAGCCATTTTCATTACATTTTTGGCACGATTAATAATGTAAAATTCGTCATTCTACCACTACATTTTACTGAAAATATGTATTCTAATTCATTATGTACATAGGAACAAATGTAAACTTACCTTTTCATTTACTATGTACAGTTTGCACAAAAATAATTCCAAGAAATTCAAGTTTGAAGTTTGTAAAAAATACATGTTTTACCGTCACTCCCATTTTTAATGTTCAAATGACGTAAACAAGTTACAATATTTTTTTCATCAATGAGCGTGAAAGATTTTTCATAACCAATGCTTGCAATCACGAAATGTAATGTCTAAATATTTGAAACAATCCAAAATATACCTAATCTAATCGGCAATGCGACTAAATTCGCTTGAAATTTGCAAAAGATTTAAACAACACTTTCCTGATTGTTTTCCTTTCTCGAAAAGGTTCTTTATAGAGCATGCCAGTCTGTATGCCGTCGCTGTAGTCTAAAATGTCTAATGTTGTTTCCTAAATTTTCAAACACTCGACATATCACATACACTAGCCAACGCAGCTCGATCAATACTGGCATATTCCTTGCCAGACCTCGGTCTAGTTAGATGTCTGTCAGCCGACACGTCACACGAACTGAATGAAGAGACTGACAGGGATTCCATGTAGTCTGACGTGTCAGAAGCCCCACTTGACGTGCTTTTGTTTGTCATCTGACTATGTCGTACAGTGATGTCTGCATCTGCTGTAAAAAAATGAAATAGTTAATGACGTATCGAGTTCTTAGGTTTTCGCGATTGTTACACATAGGAAATAAAACTATTTTTCGGGTTTAAATTGCGTATATTTGTTTTTTCAAACAAACTTTTTGGAGTTCAAACAAACCCCGCGTGAACCGTGTGAAAAATATACGCGATTTAAATCCGAAAAATAGTTTCGTTGCCTAAGTTAGTGACGTAGTTAGAGAATTAAATTCGACATTTCAAACGACTTGTAAGGGCGAAAGATCCAAGAGCGTAATATATACCCGTGAGCGATCTCAAGTGTAAGTGCGAAAGATATATATATTTGTAATGTGGTAGAGTGGAATGAAAGATGTGAAAATAAATTTAAAAAAGATGTCTTTCTGCATCTTTATTTATTTATTATCAACACGCCTGTATGTATGTACTCGTATTTATGTATCAATGATCAAAAAGATGTTCTATTAATAGAATAAAATAATAAATTTAAATATGCATTAGCTCTTGAAATAATTGGTATCTCTAGTATATCAAAAAAAGACACTACTACTATAGTATTCCAAGACAAGAATGGTAACTCCATACAAACGTAGCAGCGTGCCTTGTATGTGAGCACGCCCACTGTGTGCGGTGTATGGACGTACACATTCGCATAATTTCGCGGAGAAGTCACGTTGTTTAGTTCTGGTCGTCTCACACGCGTTCTTTCACTCATTATTATACAAATGTGTGCTAATATACACGGCACACGGCGGGCGTGGACACATACAAACCGTGCTACTTGTCTTAAGTTACTATGCCACTACGGTGAAGCAACCTGGGCCCAGAAAATGAGGACGACTGAAGATGAGGTGGACAGATATAATCGCCAAAGATAAGGAGCTGCCAGATTTTAGAAGCGACACGTCCAGAACAGAGTAAAGTGGAGGTTAAGGACAAAAAAAGCAGACCCTACCTAGATGGGAATAATAATGCTGAGAGAGAAACTATGCCACTAAGGTATTTTTAATATAGTTGCTCAAAACGTGGTATTTTTCGCACTACAAATCGTGCGGAAAGTTGGATTTCTCGCACTAGTGCTTTTTACTTTTCCAGTTTTTTTTAAATTTACTGTTGTTTTAAGTCTTAAACATAGAACTAAAGAAGTTGTATATTTATTTAATATTTATGTGCTTTGTGACGTACTTAAGTCATTCGTCATTAAAACTTATATTTATTTACAAATACTATATAATGAACGTATCGAGTGGAGGTTCACAGTCTCTGCCTACCCCTGAATGGGTGACAGGCGAGATTTTTATGTATATATTTGTCCTATGTATTACAGATAAATTGTATCTCACTACCGTGAACGGGTTCCTAAAGAAGTTTAAACAAAAGTACCAGGACTTCATAATAAGAAAAGTGGTTACAGACCGATATTACAGAAAATAAACAAAAACAGCACGTTAGAACAAGATTTCCATAGACTTTTAACTAATGGTTCGAGTGGTTGTATTTCATTATTTTAATTTACTAGCAGAAAATGAGTTTTGTTTAAATACTGTTTTATTTTACTTTCAATGTAGTTTTTTCGCAAATGTATTAAAAAACGTCGTTTGATACACGTGCGGATTTGTCATTTTCACTTGTCTCGCGTCTTGACCCTCGCCTCTGGCTCGGGCCAAGAAGCCTCGAGACTCGTGAATAATGACTAACTTTCCGCACATATATCAAAAATAACTATTTTATCAGAATGTGTAGAACTAAATCAAATTAATCAAGAAATAAAATAAATTATATAGAAAGTACTGTGAACTGACCATTTCGCTTCTTCCGTCGTGTTAAAGTGTCGACATCACAAGAATTCGACTTCGTGAGAATGGCGACTTCTTCGAAGTGAAATGTCAAGTTTTTCAACGGATCCGACGAGTTTGACTTAACAAACGGCGTGTGTACTGGAGTTAAAGTTCTTCGAATTTGCTTACTATTCTTCACGTGTTTCTTACAAGACTTTGAATTCGTGACTGGCATTTCGAATTCATTAAAATCTCCCTTGTGATGTTTCAAGGATCCAGTCGATACGCCAGAATCGTTTGAACTGGAAGAGTCCCTATTCTTATCGGATTTACTAGGTACACTTGACGATCTTCTGATTTTGACAGCATCTCTAAATCTTGCGACAAAAATGTTTTCGCTTTTTGTTTCTGCTTTGAAAACTTTATCTTTCGGCACCAAAATTTTCGGCGTATTGTTTTTTACAGGTATGACTTTGTTGATGGATGCACTTTTGTCGGTCTTTCTGAGAACCGTAGGTGTGAAACAGTGGCTATTGATACTGAACTCATCATCTTGTCTTTTTGTAAAGTCAGCAGAACTGGACCTTCTTGTGCTAAGAGTGTTGTCAGACTCTGAATGTTGAGTAGGATCTGAAATGTGGCTGATTCTACTCACGCTTATATTATCAGAGTAATTTTTATTACTGTTACTAGAAATGCTTTCTAGCGGTTCCATGTGCATATAATTTAAATGTTCGTTACAACATTCTGTTGAGGGATGGACAGTGTTCATTGTTGCTGTAGAAATATCGTCATCATGTTCTGGAATATCTTCCAATGCATCTAATTCTTCTTGACTAAATCCTGCACTCCTAAGAATTTGCAGAGAGCTTTCAAACTTCTCTAACGTTGCGTTCAAGTCTAAATTGGCGTAGTTTCCATAGTCTATTTTTGGGTTTGGTTTTTTGGTAACTGGGGTAACGTTCACGTAGTTCGAGTGTGATTCTAAAGTCGCCTCTTCGTTGTTATTAACACTAGTATCACATGCGTCATTGTTCTCTACAGCTTGGCTGTAATCTTCGACCTTGGTCTCAGTTTTCTGCGTACACATGCAGGGTTGGCCATTAATGAGACATTTTAGTTTCTTTGGTGTATCGTATAAGCTTGAAGCGTCTGTTGTGATGTCCACTGGATGTTCCTGGAAGGAAAATTAATAACATATTACTTTCCCATAAAATACCTCTGCATATAAGGTTACTATTCACTTTGCACATTAGTCCCCGAGGTGAAGTCATTCTTACCTGTATTAATGGCATAGGAGTCTTTGGCACGTCATAATTTTCATAAGGTCCACTGAACGTCTTCTTCCTGCAACAACAAGGCTTGGGCTGTTGCCAGCACTGGCAGCTAAATCCAGTCTTCACCGGCACCGTTGGCGTACAGCAAGCCACTGGGCTCTCTCTTTTGGAGTCAAAACTCTTGTCCAAAAGTAGCGCACTACGCGGAACACTGTATTCTGAGGCGCTACCACTGGATCGGGAGTAAATAGACGCTCGATCCGAATCGGAACGCTTTTCGATTATGTTGTCCATTGTCCAAACTGGAGACATGATGGAACCCGGAGTCATTGTTGATGATCTGAAATAATAATTTACAAAATATCTTGTAACATAAACACTTCAAGTTGTAATATTTTCTAGATTGCTACACATTTGGAAATGAAACAATTTTTTCGGATCTAAATTGCGTAAATAAAAAAAACTAACGGGCTCGCTTTTTATAATACAACTTTCATAGTCATGGTTCTTTGAAAAAACGAATATAGCTTTGATGTTAGGCATGAAGGTATATTACAGAGGAAAAAGAGAAATTATATGACGGCCTTATCATCAATCAACACACAACAAAATAGCGCCACCTTTTTATACATGAAGTGGCCGACGACAGTAAGATTAATTATTAATCGCTAGACTAATGTCAATACGATGTGACATTTTGTACTGTCAGTAGTACAGACATGACCCAACAGATGTCGTTACCAACACAGTATTTTTGAAATTGTTGTGTTTGAAGTGTTTCTTTAAACTACTTACCTAGTTAAATGGCTAATCTTGCCAATGCAACTAGCGCATCGTGGTAAAGAAGTCGGTCTTCTAAACTTTTCATCCCCGTTGCTTTCCAGGCTGGTGTCCAGGTCAGATAGGCAGTGCATGGTCTGGCTTGCAGGACCTGCCCAGGACGGCGACACAGAGCGCAACGAAGTATGAAAACAGTCGTCCAAGCAGGAGCTCGTGTCCGAGAAACGTTTTTCTAGAGCTGTGGAGGAGACATATATTTGTATGTTATGAATAAACGCCATAATGTCCATAATGCCAGGGAAGTCCTACCACCTTACCGATTTCGAAGGGTAAGGGTGCTGGTCATTGACTTACAATTATATGGACGTTGGGTCCGCGCTAAAAAGTGTCCGCACTTGTAAGGCGCTAAAATCGTATACAGAGCGCGACACTCCGCTTTAGTCTTCATTTGTTCTACGGACAGAGCGATACTGCGATGACATAACAATTTAAATTTCGAATAGGTTGACTTGGGACATTTTTTTCGAAGTTTTTGTATTAGACCCGTCGTCCATTTATTTGTAAGTCAATGGTGCTGGTGATATTTTTTTAATTTTTTTTATAACATCAAGTGACAGGACGAACAAGTCGTGTGCCTGATAGTATAAATTACACGCCTGTCCATAACAGTTACAGTGCCACTCAGAGCTTTAAATTGCAAAGATATGAGGGGCACTACCACTGCGCCCGTCATCCTGAGACATAAGTTAACAAGTTCCATGTGCCTGTAATTACAAGGGACTTAGCATCACGCGCACGACTTTTTCGTGCATCATTTTGTATCATAAAAAAATGCATGATCACAAACCGTTAGCGTTGAAAGGTTGTCTGCATTTGCAATTTAATTCACCATCATCATGTAAGTACAAATAATATATAATTTTTCTTCGATATTATAGCGCCCTACTCAACATGTCCGGATGTCACGCGCAAAATGAGGAAAATTTTGTTTTCATCGCATTCATATTTCTGTATTCATGTATGTTCAATGTGAAACTAAACGATGGGACCATTGACTTACAATTATATGGACGTCCGGTCCGCGCTAAAAAGTGTCCGAACTTATGGGGCGTTAAAATCGTATACAGAGCGTCATTCACGCTTTAGTCTTCGTTTGTTTCTTCTGACAGCGAAGCGAAAATGTTACAAATTTAGACAGTACTGCGATGACATTACAATTTAAATTCAACGTTTTAGCTTTTTCATATTCCTTTACATGTCACTACGTTTAAATAGGTTGACTTGGGACTTTTTTCGTGGTTTTTGTATTAGACCCGTCGTCCATTTATTTGTAAGTCAATGGATGGGACGATAAAAACTAATCGCGTGTAAGATTAATTCGGATTTAGCATAGTTCCTGACAATACCGTACTACAATACTCCAAGCCCTGTCTATGGCTTGCTCATTTTCGCTTATTTACCAGTTATTTGAAAGAAATACTGAGAAAGATTTCTTACCTGATCCACTCCTCGAAGCAATGCTAAGCCGTGACTGAGCATCTTGGCTATGAATATTCAATAAGTCGGTCAAGTCCCTACCACCCTCAGCAGCGAAGACGAACAAGCCTTCACCCTTGCCGCAGCGCGAGCCGCCTTCCACGCAAAATCGTTTGTCAATTACGCCGAAACGTCTGAGGAAGAACGAGAAAAGAAAAAATTAGAAATGATTCTTGTTATAATGATCACTTTGGTGGTTTGCCGTAAATTACGTGCTTAGATCTAAAGATTGGTATTAAAAGTTTTACTGCTATTTTACGACTTCGGTGCCCCAACGGTTTGCACCGTGGGCGTGGATGTGAAGGTCCCGGGTTCGATTTCCGGTAAGACCAATTTGGGAAATAAACGTTCTGGGTAGTGTCCCAGAGTGGATTCCGTTGCTCTGGTACTCATAGTTCGAGGAGTTCTCCAGTTTCAGACCAGGCAATTAGTGTGGTTGTTTGGAGAAAAAAAGTTGTCCAGCCGTTTCACAGAAAAGTGATAAACGTATCACCACCGTCATATACAGTCTGACTTCACCCACTGCTAGGTATAGGCCTTCAAGTTTTTGTGCCGCTCCCCACGGTCCTGCGCTAAACGTGCTTACCTATATTGAATAAAAATTAAGTTATCATATTTTTAGGACACGTTGTTGTGGATTTCAAGAGGGCACTAATTTTTAACCGACTTCAAAAAAAGAAGGATGTTCTCAATTCGACTGGGTGTCTTTTTTTATATGTTACGCGATAACTCCGGTATTTGCGAACCTCCCATTGATCCCATTTAATTTTGAAGAAAATCATCCACCTCTAAGGGTGGCTGTTCACGCATGAAGATTCATTTTTATAAATAGCGCCTAAATTTTATTGTAAGGAGCAATTATTTTAATGGTTGATTTTGCTATTCTCCAATTCAAGGCGTTTTTCTTTCAATATACTTCGAGTAGTAAACCGATTTTTGTTATCTCCTGTGTCTAAGTAACTAAGGGATGAATCCGGGTTTGCGCACTTTCCGGTAACCGATTTCAATAAAACTTGGTAATTATATGTAATTCCACGTACTTTTGAGGTCGGTTTTTTTAGTACTCTGTACTGAGATTATAATATCCAATATCGTCCTGGCTATGATAGCTGGCAGGTTAGATTGCCCCTATATTCGGCATTGTTGTGATAAGCATGCCCGCTATGGTGCCGGTTATGGAGGCAATCGATTTAGAGGTCAATAAACTATGTAGGTACTTGTAATTTTAATTAGAATTTGGGCTTTTATTACAATTTTGTTTTATTTTCATAATTTTTAATTGTCTTTTTAATTCTGATTATATTTTGCTCTTAACTGTCGGTATTAATTTTCAATTTCAATGAAATTTATTTTGCTATGGGTCATTGTCGCCAGAAATAAATGATTTTTTTTATTTTCTTTTATTTAAGAGTAGACAAAACCTCGAATGGCTTTGGTTGATTCCGCTTAATAGTAACAGAATTGCACCAATCATTTTAGAAAAATATATAGTAAAATTGAGGATAAATATATTGTATACGGTGAAAAACACGATTCCTAAATGAAGGTGGCGACATCCCGTGTATTATGTGACACAGTGTTTTTGACGACGTGCATTAAGGAGACCTATCAATACTTGTGATTCATTATCAAAGCATCAAAAAAGCTAATTGAGTGCAGCCTGTAGAAGCTGGGGTTATAAAGTTGATATAGGTTATGTTTCAACATTGTCCTGTATTTCGCTTTAGTTGTTTGTTCGTAGCAGCAGAAACCAACAAGTTTCCAGTTTGTTTCCAAAAATAATAAAGATCTTCCCGAATATTCCCAAAACTGTCAAACTTTGCCACATTTAATATAACTTATCATATTCTGCATGAATGCAAATGAATAAAAATTAAACCTGTCCAAATGGCAGAAATCTGCCACAAATGGTCACACTGTTCTCAATATCAATGTGACATTTTTATATAATACCAGGTGACGGGACGAACAAGTCGTGCGCCTGATGGTAAGCTATACGCCTGTCCACAACAGTTGCACTGCCACTCAAAGCTTTAAATCGCAAAGATCTGAGACATAAGTCTGTAATTTCACCAGCACCCTTACCGTATTGCTGACATTACCGCTTGGCGGCAGAAATAGGCAAGGTGGCAGAACGGGAAAAAATTGAATTCGAGCTCAGGTAGGATGAGATTCTTAAACACAGCACACAGTAGTTTTAAACCGTATAAACTCAACATTTTTCATGGAAGCTAATAAGCTAGTCTCCCATTCAAAACACCATCAATCATTCAAACATCCCAATCAGTCATGTAATCAGCGTCCCTAAATTAATTAACAGCACTTGTACCATGCGGGTGGCCGTCATCTTCGCTCTCATACAGAGTCATACATACAATAAACAAAGTACGTAATTAAACTGTTGAACTTAATTTAGATTGAAGTTCATTTGGTTCGTTTGTTATTGTCGACTAGGATTGAAGACTTTGAAACTTTTTTTAGTGGTACTAGAGCTCCTTGTGAAAGAGTTCGTCGAGGGAAGTACTGCCACCTTACAATGTGAGAATTACTGTGTTTCGGTTTTGAGGGGTGAGGGTGTTGGTGAAATTAGACACACAAGACTTGTCAACTTGTCAATGTCTCAGGGAAACAGGCGCAGTGGGCAGTGTCTCTCAGATCTTTGCGATTGAAAGCTCCGAGTGGCACTACAACTGTTATAGACAGGCGTGTCGCTTAACACCAGGTCCTGTTGGTTGGTGTCATAATAATCTCAGTACAGAGTACTACAAAAACCGATCTCAAAAGTTCGTGGAATTACATCTATTTGCCAAGTTTTTTTGAAATCGGTTACCGGAAAGTGCGCAAACCCGGATTCATCCCCTAGTTCGCCACTATACGGAACTTGACACAGAAGATAATAAAAATCGGTTCCCACTACTCAAAGTATATTAAGAGAGAAAAACGCCTTGAAATGGAGAATAGCAAAATCAACCATTAAAATAATTGCTCCTTACAATAAAATTTAGGCGCTATTTATAAAAATGAATCTTCATGCGTGAACAGCCACCCTTAGAGGTGGATGATTTTCTTCAAAATTAAATGGGATCAATGGGATGTTCGCAAATACCGGAGTTACCGCGTAACATACAAAAAAAGACACCCAGTCGAATTGAGAATATCCTTCTTTTTTTGAAGTCGGTTAAAAATTACCCTCTACTCTGTCTTGAACGACAAGACACTCTGTAAGAAGAATAATTTCCGGAAATCCACAATAACATGTCCTAAAAATATGATAACTTAATTTTTATTCAATATAGGTAGGCACGTTTAGCGCAGGACCGTGGGGAGCGGCGCAAAAACTTGAAGGCCTATACCTAGCAGTGGGTGAAGTGAGACTGTATATGACGATCAAATCAAAAAAATCAATTGGCGCATAGCAAAATCAACCATTAAAATAATTGCTCCTTACAAAATTCGGGCGCTATTTATAAAAATAAGTCTTCATGAACGGACACCCTTAGAGGTGGATGATTTTCTTCAACTTCACAAAGGCCGTAACATACATAAAAAAACGCACAATGCAACTGAGAAATAATTTTAGCAAGATTTCAAAGTGTTTATTTCCAAGTCCTTCGATATCAATTAGCGGTATTTTACCGACATGCCTCATTCTCTATTGTCTCTTCCTATATCTACTGGCTTCGCCGCGGAGAATCAAGGCAGCCGTGAAATTCCCCGCAAGGGGCGGCGGCGTCTGCTAAATTAAATTCCATTTTGATCAAATCAGAACCACTACAAATTTGATTATTACCATGGAATTAAAACGTTTAATTACTACGAATATTTGAAACGGTTGTAGCTATTGTTACGAAATCTTTGAATAAAATTGTTGCTTTATGAAATTTAGTAGGAATTAAAAAAAAATTAAACATCGCAATGTTTTTACTACCTTTTCTATGCTAATATGTTAAAGTGATATTATTATTATTGAAAGAAAAAATATTAAAACCGCGAATTTTTGCTCACCGTGGCCAATTTTCTTCTAACTGAGCCCCAAAACTATTCTTTACAATGTTGAGAAAAAATTGAGATTTTTTTGTGAAATAACGCCATTAGTTTTTATTATGATTTTTAATACAAAGATCTAATACGGAAAAATATTTTCTTCGATCCGATGGGACTTGAACCCATGACCATACTACACCGTAGTATTGCTCTTAGTAACTGAGCTACCGGACAAGTTATCGAGTTATCGAAATTCTCATATGTGTTTTTGTTAAAGATCCTTGTACTGTATTTTTTGTATTGTATTTTTTGCCTCTACAGGTTTTATAGGTTTTTTAGGTTGTTTTACAGGTGCCTTATCTGACGTAGATGTCAGTTTTTGATTTGAATAATCAAACAATTATGTTGTGTACCTTCATCTACACTTTTTTAACCGACTTCAAGAAAAGGTACTTGTGAACCAATTTTCATGATTCTTTTTTTGTTTGAAAGAGGGTACCTCCATAGTGGTCCCATTTCATTTTGAAGAAAATCATCCACCTCTAAGGGTAGTTGATCACGCATGAACGTTCATTTTTATAAATAGCGCCTGAATTTTACTTAAAGAGCAATTATTTTAATGGTTGGTTTTGCTATTCTCCAATTCAAGGCGTTTTTCTCTCTCAATATATTTTGAGTAGTGAGAACCGATTTTTATTAGCTCCTGTGTCAAGCCCCGTATAGTGGCGAACTAGGGGATATTTCAATAAAACTTAGCAAATAGACGTAATTCCACGTACTTTTTAGGTCGGGTTTTTTTTAGTACTCTTTACTGAGATTATTTGGTATCCGACTTTTCTAATGTTAAGACCTTGTATGTATCCAAAAGCAACAATTATAACGCACCCTGAAATATTTCACACACATACACGCATTGTGGAATCAGTACCAATCACAACACTTACTCTATACTTTCTTGATACACACTGCGACTTATTTATCTAACATAGTTTAAGTCTTCTTTAAACTGTACTAACTCCTCGAACATCTTTCTCATATTTTATTCTTTTCTGGGTCCCAAATGAACAGTTTTATTGTACATGGCTAACAATGAAGTTATAATTATTATTATTACAATTCGGGAAAAACTGTTTTGGATCAAATGGTTTAG